AGATAAATAGGAGCTTAAAAAGAAATGTTCAACTCCCTTAAAAAAAAACCCCACCCCATACTTTCAGCTCTCAGTTAGTTACAAATTTTCTTCACTTATAATCTTAAATGTTGAGTTCTCCACCTGACAAGGGAGTCTGCCATTGGAGAGAGAGACTCCCATTTTACTCCCATGGAGTAAAAAAAGTATGGTAAACACATTTAAGAAAGGATAAGATTTAAAAAATCAGTTTCAGATCTATTTGCATTTCAGGCTATTTTTATACCCGAGGGAATCACAGAGAGACACACTTTTTCCCTGCCGCAGTAGGCCACCTCCAGTTCTGAATAAGGAGAGAAAAGGAACAACTTACATCTGGCAGAGAGTCGATGAAGGAATGAATATTGGCTTCTTTTGCTGCATGAACAATTTCCTCATGTGACACCTGCCGACTGTTGTCTCCATATGCGATGTTTTCAGCAATAGTGCAGTCAAACAGGATTGGTTCTTGTGAGACGATACCAATCTGAGCTCTCAGCCACTGGATATTTAGTGTCTTTGCATTCTGGCCATCCAGGAGCTAAAAAGTCAGAAATAAAATAGTCATGTTTGCAATCAATACAGCAACATCAAACATCTCTACAAAACTTGAAAAACTCCAGCTATACGAAACCTGTTCGGTTTTAGCTACAGACAGTTTTGCCCCTCACATTGAGACCGGACTGTGGTGGGAAGCAGATATTTGGGTTTGGGAAATCCAGTGGTCACATTTTTTTTCTCTGACTGTTAGAGGAAGGATGCAAATCCTCTGAAATGAAGCCCTGACTATGGGTGAAATGCGGATGTAAGTTAATAGATAGAAGATCACCTTACTTGGCAAGTACAAAATTGTCCTAGTAATGCACAGGCATCTATCTGCAGCCTTGGGATACTTCAAGGCCCAAGAAGAGCTTTTTAGGGTTTTTCTCATCTTCCCTTGTATTATTTTTTACATGCCAGATGGTGATGCAATGAAGTTCAGTGCCTGCCCTAAGCAGTGCTGCTGTTAAATCCAACAATTCTTCCTTACTGTAAATAAACTAAGCCTCAGTGATACCAGTAGACTCTGGTCAGGCCAATGTAGCAACTTCTCTCTGCCGGCTCTTGTTCTAGTAAGTTGAAATGGCATGGGAAATCCAGAAATTTTACTTTCTTTCTCCTTTCCCCATGATTGCACAGAGAATATTGAAAATCTATATTTACTGCCCTTAATTTTCAAAAATAGTAAAAAAAGAATTAGAAACATTGACAGTAGTGAATAGTTACACTAGCAAACATGTAATGAAAATAATTAAGAGGAAAAGAAGGGAAATAAATTATATTAATAAAATACAGTAAGCATGTATCATGCACCTGCAACTTACACTTTGATGTGGAACACTTACGATTTCTCCATCAAGTGGATCATAAAATCTCTCAAGCAGCTGAACCACAGTGCTCTTCCCACAGCCACTGCTCCCAACAAGAGCCAGGGTTTGTCCTTTTTCTACATTGATGCTCAAACCTTGGAGCACTTTGGCCTCTGGTCGACTTGGGTAGTTAAACGCCACATTGTTGAATGTTACATTTCCACCAAATATTTTCTGATTGAAACAGTAGAGTTAGGCCAATTTTTTAGGCTAATGCAACAGATCAAAGACTATGAAGAACATTCACAAAAGAGATCAGTGGGAGTTTGTCCAAAGAATCAGACTTCTTTTTTCACAAGAATTAATCAGTAGTGAGAAGCTACTGTACAAACACAAATTCTCTCCTAAATATTCTACTCCGAAGACATATTTTAATTAAAACTCTGTTCCGTAAACATAAATTCTGACAGCTTCTCTTATACCATCTGTTAAACAAGATTACATTTGCAAAAGTAACAATAACTCTAGGTGGCTGACTTCTGTCTACTTTGCAAGGACCTCGTTCAGACTCTTGGCATGTTCTATGCTGATTTTTTTTCATTTTTGTCCATAAAGATACTGAAAATAATCTATTACTTCTGATCTGTGCACAAAATAAATCCTTCTACTTTAAGATATTTTCTAATTATTTTACTATAAAATTTAATATGATATATGTAATATGGATATATTACATAGATATAAAATGTAAATATAGAGATATGTAAATGACCAATCAGCATAACAGCTCAAATGTATCACCCTTCAGAAAGCTTCATAATTATTTTCCTTATTATGTGTGTGTATATCTCTCTATATATACATATAAATACATAATATACACAAATTTTATAATAGTTATGTGATAGTTGTCTGGAATGTCCTGTCCTCTCTATTATGTGACAGGCCACAGGCACACGTGTTCATATACATTGTTGGTTACTAAAGTATGTGCCAATCTGTTATGGACAACTTGCAAATAAGTTAGTCCTCAAAAATTTCTGGTTAAATATTAGTGGCCTAGTTATATGTCCAATGCTTAGGTAACTTCATGCAAGAAAGTATTGAAAAATTATGTCTGCTGCATTAACCCTATTTCCACTGGCTCTTAACATTTTTTTAACCAAGAGATAGGTGAGGTTTTGCCAGGAAAAGACACAAAGCAAAGCTTAGCCCCAGTTTGGTTGGATGAGTTAGATGTGAACAGGCTCACGTGGTGTTTGTTCTCAGTAGCTATTATGTGGGTGGGAGGAAAAAAAAAGAAAAATCAGGTTTGAAATAAATTAGAGAAGTATGCTATGCTGTGCATAGCACCATGCTTACTTACAGGCTTCTCTCCTTCCTCACTGTAGCTATCTATGGGGGGTACTCTTTCAAACAGCATGAACAAGTGGGCAGCTGACATTTTGGCTTTGGTATAGTCTGGAGTGAAAGAAGTGCTTTGTCCTAATGCCATTGCACCAAATACAATAGCTGAAAAAACTCTGTAAAGATAAAGAGGAAAAAAATATATTGACATTGACATGGCAAAGGCAACCTAGTGGTGTAACTCAGCATGCAGCTGAACACCAGACACCCACTTGTTCACTTCCCTGTCCTCGCTGGACACACGAGGAGGAGGAGTGTGCACACTTGAATGCACAGCGGAAGGGAGGATAATGCTGCTTTTTGAGACAGGGCTGGTGTTATCAGGGTAAGAGGCAGCTTTAGCTTCAGCAGCGTTTTTTGCCAGGCAAGAGTGTAGCAATTGCTAAAAGCAAGGATGGGATGTGCATGGGAGACAAGGTGGCTGTTGGCAAATACAGGCAGGGATTTCAGCTGCAGGGAGAAAAACAAAAGGATTTCTTAGGTGCTGGAGATAGGGAGGGAGAAGAGAAGGCTGGAAAGGTGCCAGTCGGTGGGAATAACTCACTGGAAACACTTGGAGAAGCTTTTTCAGCTCTGGCTGAGCATTTTGCGGATTCTGTGTTTCCTGAATCTTTCTCATCTTCCCCACCTCTCTTGTCCAAGGGGTCATAATTTCCTCACTTCAGTTTCGCTCGTTACTTGCTCCACTTACGTTCTAGTCTTGTCCACCTATGCTCTCTACAGCTGAGCCATGTGATTTTTGTTGTTGAAACCTTGTTGGCCATGCAAACAAGGAATGGCTTTGTTTTGCCTGTCTTCATGTTGCCTTCCTTCTACCCTTCTACCCTGGGCAACCTGACTGGAAGGGAAATTGTATGTAGGTAGCTAACACAGTCTAAAAGCATCACTTATTTTGGATTTCTAATAGTGAAAGGGAGAAGGGGAACATAAGGGTGAAGAATGGAGGTTTATTGACTTTTTAATTTCTGTACTTCATGATTTCATGATACCTATAGAAAAATAAAACATGTTCTCCCACATGGACAAAAAAAGAACCTAACAAAGAGATACTTACAAAAGCACATCTTTAAACCGCATATGTCCATTTCTCACTAGATAAGCACCAAACCTAAAACACCCAGCGTAAGTAAAGTACATAATAGCTTGTGTAAAGGCAAAAGTAAATCCAAAGATATGTGCCTTCTTTACAGAATTTCTGTAACAGAAAAATATGTATAATTACATTGAAATTGTACATTCACATAACAACATAATGGAGACTTCGAAGAAAAAAAAAAGTCCTTTAGAACATTACCTACAATGATAAGAACATTAGCCTGAAGGGAAAAATAATCTTTACTTTTTTGTGCCAAAGCTGAGTTTGAAATGAAAGATTTTATGATTCACTGACAGAGATAAATGATGATTCATTTTATTGGTGTTAATTTATGTTCATTTTCATATGAAAATGAGTGATGTTTCATAGCTCAATAACTTTGAAGCATTCTTTTACCTGTATGATGCTTGCAAACTTTGTCCATACATAACCTCAAATTTTCTTTCCTGAGTCAAAGTAACAATAGTTCGAATATTTTCTATGGCTTCTGAAGCAATCTGTATCAGAGAGCAGATATTCATCAACAGAAAAACAAGTTGATAAGGAAATTTTTGAACATAATCTGCTAAATAGATTAACTGCAATAGAACTGTGTCTACAATACTGTTGAAAGCCTGGTTGCAACATTTGTAGATATGCTGCTGTTAAATACATCCAATTAGTACAGATTATAGCAGGGAAGTTGAGACAGCGCACATTTTAGCACAGGCTGGTAATGGGAGTTAATTTCCAGTGGATTTGTGTAACCTGTCACGAGGATGATGCCAGGCAGCTGCCATCGCTGTGGGAACCCCGTCAGGATAAACTGAACACACAAGCCAACATCACTTGCAAGTTCATCTGGAACTGCAGGGTAAACATATGTCCACATTTTGGAAAGCAATCTGTGATTTTGAGCTGATCCATGCAGAAATTTCCCAGGGTGCATTCTCAGCATTTTTTGAAAAGCAAGAGTCTTTCAAAAGTCCTAAAGGAGAGACTCAAAACCACTGGCCATTCTTATAAATGTAGAGACAGATTTTCCTGGCCCATATGGCAGCTTGGCATTTCCTGTTAATGTTATACCTTTGAAAATCTTCCTGTTTTGCCACAGAAGAAACAATAGCGAATAGAAATTTTCTGAAATTATTAGTGATGCTAAGTACCCAGTCTTCACTGAAAACTAGTGGAAGCTCATGCCTTAACTTTCTTAATGCTCCCCAGATATTAAGGGAATTTACTTGTAGTTAATTAATATCATCAGCGAATTTTTTAATAATAGCAGTTGATTTAGCCTTGGTCAAGAATTCAGCAGATCAAAACTCAAAATGTAAAGCATCTTGGCAAGCAGTTTTGTAAAGTACACCCATGGAGCATTATACTCATTCCAGTTCATAATTTACCTCCGAGGTACTAATTTTATGGGAAGAGAAAATTATCCACTGTCTAGAAAGTCACCTGGGACCTGGGACTCAAGCTCAATTCTTTCATGTGCATTGTCACCCATGTAAGATCCAGACACTGCGGAATCCCACTGCCTTCACAGATGCCCACAGCAGTGTCTGTACCCCTCCAAATCATGTGCTCTCTTGTCTTCTCCCAGCCACTGTACACTGTGTCAGCCAAAGCTGGTAAGTATCCAATGCAATCATTGTATGATGTGAAACGAGACATAGGAAATAGATCGCAATTTTAACCAGATCGTGCAACTACTGCACTAGATACTTAGTTTAAAAGAGCATTATGAGACCTTGTTTGTTAAATTCAAGCTGTATTGTAAGCCTCAGCTGAAAACCGTTGTAGAATGCATGGTAAATAAAACTTTAGTTAATTCCCTTGGATTCTCCTGACTGTGACACTTACACCACGTAAAAATATTATTGGAAAATACTCGTTTACATGTGTAAGGGACAACATTCTGTGGATGCCTTGTGATTTGACCTGACAAGGAATCATTGCTATGTAAATTTATACCAATATGCTTGGCAGGCAAAACCAAGAAGAATGTGCTTTTTTGTATTATTTTTGTGTAAAAAGGACTAGGAGTAAGCACCCCAAACAATTTTCTAACCAGCCTGGAGGAACAGAAATGCCTGTGAAGAACTTTGCTAGTATAGGTCATGGAAAGCAAGAACAAGATTTGCTGTGCCCAGACTGCCCTGCACAACTGACTGTGGTCTAATGGGAGGGAGGAAAAAGGCAGAGGAGATCACACAGGTGTTGTGCTGGTGGGGTGTGTCAAAACCCAGTCCCCACAGAGCACATTTTGTCCTGAGACAGCATGCCTTGAAAAGTGAGAAAACAGCTCTCCTCAAAGTTATGAAATGAAGTAACACCCTCCCTCTTTGCTCCCACACTCACATTTTCCTTTGACGCAGATTCCCAGGCTCCTGCTTCCCTTCCCAGCTGAGAGGGGAAGGAATGAAAATGAGAGCAAGAGATTGCAGGGCAGGGCCAGCTACACTGATCCCTTTATATAACTCGCCCTTTTAATTTTCAGCTTCATATTTGCTATTTCACCATTTTGCCAGAACAATACAAGGCAGTGTTTAACTTCTTTGAGGAATACATTTTTGATCCATCGCTAGTGTCCCTATCTATTAAGCAACACTGTGTAGTACAACATTGAAACAGATAAAACTGTCACCAAACCCACCTGTCCTGCGAGTTCCAGTTCCTTTTTATCTTTTTTTGCATGTCCAGCAAGCATCTTCATTTGAATCATTCCTGTTACAGCAATAATTGGGACAACGGCTAAAAGCAGAAGAGTCAGCTGCCAGCCGTAGAGGAACGACAAAACAATCCCAGTCCCAAGATTAGCTACATTTTGGGCAATTAGTGCCAGTCTGGAACCTGTAGCCTGGAAAAGAATGAAACTATCGTAAATTACTCTGATTTATTTGAAACCTAGACATAAATATTTGTTACCTAGAGAACTGAGATTTATTCACCAGAGGATATCTGAAAGTGCTTAATCTAGTCTAAATATTCAGCAGAACTGGATGTTTTATCTTTTCAAAAATGATTCTGTTGTACAGATCATTTCCTCAAGTCTTCTGTATCTTACCTAGTCTTGCTTCTCTGCTTCCGGACTTACAGTTCTTGTTTGCAGGTTTTGCCCAAGAAAACACACTGGCATTTCATAAATTTCATATTTTTTTATAGGTAGAACCATACTTCAAACTTGCCAGGTCTCCCGAGACATGACATTTCCTAACGTGGAGACTGAGATGACTAATTTTTCCTCTCTGACTACGTTTAACTTTAAGCATGAGAACAAATACAGTGCTGCAATGAGATCAATCTCATTTTGAGGTGCACACTTAAGCATTTTGTTAGTATTGGTAACATTTAGCATAGAAACAATGCTGTCTAGACTTCTAAGTGGGTTGGATAAATAAACAAACAGACTCTTTGGATGACTCATATACTAGTGGTAACAGAACTGAACATTCGTATGAACTAAATGCAAAGATGTATCTATAAAAAAATCATATCTATCTACTATTACGAAATTAAATTTTTGTGTAGAACTGAAATAAATAATATTTAATAAATAATAACAGTTCCAGATGACTGCATGTGATGGTTTTCTACCTATCAAATCCAGTCTGTAACTTACTTCATGCTAAACCAGATATGAAAAATGCCAGTGCTTGTTACTTACTCCTTTCACTTGCGAGGCATCATTAGCAAGTCTTGTAATTAATGTTCCAGTGCTATTTTTAGGATCATCAAACCAGCTGATCTCCTATGACATGAAACAGCTATTACAATCTTAAAAACTTTAGTGTGCACATAGTCTAATTAGGCTACATAAGAGAATTTAATCACTTCAGATTACAACAGCATGACACACAGAATATGGTGCTGTTTACATGTAACCATAAATACAATAGACCTAAAAGTTTAATAAAGGTACAGGAACACAAAATTCAAACCTAAATTGTGTTAAAAATCTGTTTATCCTTTTTGCAATAGCATAAACATCACCACATTATTTCATATTAAATGTAGCTTTACCATTTTTGCTTGTGAATTTAATGTGTTCTTGATGATCAGATGCTCATTAAATAGCACTACCAAGGAATCTGCCATGTAGGGACAATTACTTGGATGTATAACATGCATCTGCAAAGACGACTAACTAAAAAATATGCTTTCTCCTGTTATAAAACCAAAAACACATCTTAATTCTCTGTCAGTTACAAGTACTATGAAATCTGTAAGCGTCTTCTGTGAAGTGTTTCAAAAGTCTGAGTGTTGCTGCAAAACTTCTGTGGTGTCTGTGAAGACATACGTGAAATGATATGCAGTGCTGGGAGAATACTTAAGACTTCCTCATCTGGAAGACGCTATTTTCAGGGAAAAAAATCTTGTCAATCATGTACTTCTGTATCTCATTAGCAATTTGGATAAACTGGTCAGAGGAACCAGTGACTCTAAAGGACTTATTTGAAAACTAAAATGTCTGAATTAAATGCAAAACTTATTTAAATCCAGGAAGTAAAAATAAAATATTCACTCTATCTTTCCTCTAGGTTTGCCAGACATCAAAACCAAAAGACCATTATCATGAAACAATCTAAATATTTGTATTACCTTATGCACACATAAATTTTAGCAACAGTATGGTACTTTTATGTAATAGCTGTCCATAAAATTACGGTAAGAACTTTTATATTTCCTACCATTAGTGTATAAATGCATAACCCTTAGACATCAACAAACATGTTACGTTTATCTTTCTTGGGATTTTACTGAGAGTGAGGGATTATTTTTAAGTGCAGCAAAGTAATGTATTCTTAAATACAGTAAGAAAAAAAAGATGTAAAACAAACAGTTTCAATCTGGCTGTAGGCTCACATAGCCAGATGGCTGCTCTGGAGTTACGTGATATGGAGAGAGCACCACGTGTTTTGGTGCTAATACACAAAACTCCCCAACGTCCCATTGCCATATTGCCTGATACTTGAACATGATGCCAGGTGGACACTATTTTCACACCAAAGTGAGAAAAGCAAATATAATGACATTACTTGCCTCCTCAGACCATGAAAGCATCTTTAACTTTAAGGGTGTTTCAAGCCCTTCCTCCAGGGATCTGTTGAGATTCAGCATGGTCTTAGAGACCTCACTTGCCTCCTGAGCTAGTAAAAAAATTCTCATGGGACTTAATTTCCAAGAAGATGACCTATAATCCCTTCCCATATAAACCAGAAATAATTTCTGAATTTCAGATTCAGTCACTTAGAACACAGCCTCCTTTTTCTGGTCCTCAAGCCAAAGGTGCTTTGATTTTATTCAACAAGCTAAATAAACACAACCATTACCTTTGAGCTTTCTTACACTTGACCTATAGTTATATCAATAAAAAAGATTTTAAAACCATTTAAAATAGCTATCTGGACCTGTTATGAAGGTTTAATCCATTCAGTTTCTAAACTGAGCTAAAGAAATCAGTGTGGTATCTCTATGGACATGATGGCAGCATGACTACTTAAATAAACAAAAAGACAATTCCTGGCATGTAAAGAAACAAGCATTTCTAAAGCTCCAGAAGGGTAAACATATAATGCTTTTACCTGTCTAAGCATTGCTTTAAATGCCATGGATCGAAGCCTCATTGTAAGGATTTCTCCAGCTTTGCCAAATGTGAAACCCTGTTTGAGAAAAAAAAAAGCTTTTTTATTACCTAACCAGTTTTTGTCTTTTTCAAATAAACAGTTAAGTGACCATCCACATCTAATATTAAAAATAATATTACTAAGTAAAAAACATTCTAGTGGTAGCTGAGGTAATCAAAGTTTTTAAAAGCTAAATTTAGCACAAGTAGAGTTAAATTTAGCAGAAGAATGAGACATTGTTTTTTGAGAAACAAGTATATACCATGCAATGGTCTTCAGGCCCCACCAAAGTGTTTTAATAGCAGAAATTTTTTTATCATGCCTGATCTCAAAAGGACACTGGTCACTTCAAAGTAACAGGCTTGGTGCTATCACCAGACCCTATACTGGTACTAATACCAAATATTTCCCTCTCTCTAAAAGAGCTTACAACCAAAAAACTGTAGTGCTACTGGTTATTTTCTAGAGGAAGCCTCTGAACCTGCACAAATACTCACTGACTACAACACAACTCATTGTGCACAAAGACGTACTGGTGAATCTGACACTCCTGGGCCAGGGCCATGCAGGGTCAGACTACACAGAATGAGATGAGGGAGACAGGCAGACACATTTGGGTGGAGAAATATCCATAACAGTTATACCACCAATTTCTTTTCTTTTCCAAGGCATCACAGAAGTAGGAATTTTGAGGTTGGTTCTGCTTGAAGAGAGGGCAAGAGCTGGAGGTCATTTCAGAAAAGGCACCCTGTTTTCTCAGGGGCATCAACCAGAAGATAGCAAGGTGGTGTTCAGTCTGCAGATGATCAGGCAAGGCCAGCACAAGTAGCTGAGCAATAACTAAAGGGTGTGTGGAAATGAGTTGTGCATCAAGCCACATAACAAGTGAACTGATTTATATATGAACTTTGGCTGTTTTCCAGCAATATACATAATTCTGTGGGTTGACAAATACACGGGTCCATGTGAACAATTACATGTCCATGGAAATTCAGACTGTTTTGAAAAATATGGTCAAAACTGTTTGATCCTGCACAAACAGAAGGATGCATCCCATAGACAGAAGAGATTATTTGAAATATTTTTTAACTTTCTTGGTATGGAGCTGTGAATAAACTTAAATTAAGCATATCATAGAGTCATGGAATGGACTGAGTTGGAAGGGACCTTTAGAGGTCACCTAGTCCAACCTCCTGCAATGATTAGGGACATTGTTTGGATCAGGTTGCTCAGAGCTGCATCAAGCCTGACCTTGAATTAATGTCTCCAGGGATGAGGCCTCCAACACCTCACTGGACAACCTGTTCCAGTATTTCACCACCCTCATAGTGAAAAACTTCTTCGTAGTGTCTAATCTAAATCTACCCTGCTCTAGTTAAAAACCATGGCCCCTCGTCCTATTGCTACATGCTGTGGGGGACCTCAGCTGGACTGAGGCCCTTGGACAGAGTGACTTTGACCTTGAGAAGATTCCAGTCTACCCTTGAGAGAATAAACAGGAACAAGAAGAGCCGCAAGGTAAACAAGTTTGTCGAAAGTGCTGACAGCAGACTGAGGCGTATGTGTTCCTTTGGCGGAAGTGCTGAGTTGTGATGAACTGTGAAAATATTATTCGATAAAAGAGAAACATAATAACTTTGAACCAATGAGAAGAAGACACATCTGGGGAAAGAGAGTATAAATAGATGAGGAAGAAAAACAATAAAGGCTTTTTGTGCTACGCCAACACTTGTTGTCTTGTCGCTTTGTCCGTCCCAACCGTGACAACACGCCCTTTTAAACAGTCCCTCCCCAGCTTTCTTGTATGCCCCCTTCAGGAACTGGAAGGCTGCTGTAAGGTCTCCCTGGAGCCTTCTCTTCTCCAGACTGAACCTCAGCTCTCCCAGCCTGTTCTCAGTTATTTTCAGTATGTTTTCTTAGAAATCCAAGGTGGATTGCTGCATGGACTGATGTTGCACAGAGCTCAGAGAAGGTGCTGAGGCAACCAGTTACTCAGGACAGAAGATTCAAAATCTGATCTAAACTTGTGCTGCCAACATTAGTATCAGTCCTGTCAGTATTGGGTTTTCCTGCACAGGCTGTGGTGTTACACCCAAACTTTCCTATGGTGGGGAGTGGGGGGTCAACTCACAGCACTGAGAACATTTGAAAACACTATATTTTGAACCTATCTGATAGTGGAAGTTCATAATTGTTTTTCTTGTGTACTGCTTGACACTAAGACACTGAGAACCTAGCACAGTTGAGATACAATGCCTCAAATACCACGAACAAAACCTTACCTGAAGAAAAAAAGTAACAAAAGAAATTATTCCAAAACCTAAGAATAGCAGTGCATACGTGCTATTTGTTTCCCTGATGACAACCTCTCCTTTTTCTACAAACACCTGTAAGAGAAAATTTTGAAAATTAATTTACTTAAGTTACAGTGCAAAATTTTCCCATTATTGTTACAGACATGCTATACGCATTACATACACTTAGAGTAATAATAAGTCCATTTCTTGTTGAACTAAGATTATTTTCTTTGAAGTTTATAGATCTGAAGGGATTTTACATGACTTGGGAATACAATGAAGGTTTGTACTTCTTTGTTTTATACTCACCCCTATGATGTCTGAAATGATGACTGAAAATATGGGTTGCAAGCCCCCATTGATAATTGCGCATAAAGTTCCAATAACAAAGTACGGCCATTCAGTATTATTCAACTTCATAATTTTAATAAATGAAACAGGAAGTACACTTTTATCCTAAAATAAAAGGATTCCATCAGGATAAATATAATACATTAATGGAGGAAAATGAAGGACATGTATATTCTTCGCAATATGCTCTTTATCCCATATTTTATTTTGGGAAACACCAAGCTAACCAATCTTTAAAAATTGTATTAATTAACTGCAGAAATTCTTACTGCTACTCAGCACCCAATATTAATAACATAAAAGAATAAGGAAAAGACCAATGAATGTTATATAAGCTCCCATTTCTTCAAACAATAACAATCTAAGCGTTTCCCTGAAAAGATTAGTCACAAAACCCACTTGCCCTTCGTGGGACTATCCAGAAAAAGAAGTTGTGAATTCAAACCTCTTTTTGCATTTGACAGTGCTGAATGTTAAAATAATTGCTCCCTACTTATTGCTGAATAGGACCTCTTGCAAGTTCAGGTCATTAGCCATCCTGATAATTCCATCTTAATTTTCAGGAATTTATTTGCTAACACAGACATTGTAGACAACAAATGGCAAAACATTTAGATAAAAATAGTAATTATTCTCTATTCAGGGTATGTTATTTGAGTTATATGACTAATTACTTGGTTTTGGTTTTGTTCTAAAATTAAATGAATTAACTTTCAACTTAGGCTATTCCCATACTCAAGTAATTTTGTTTGATAAGATTACTCAAACTATTTCAAGTATCACAACAAAAAATAATTTTTTCTTCAAGGGAAAAGACTGTTTCCATAGAAATCTTGTGTGATTTTGTCAATTTATGAGTCTTTAATGAGACATGTAAGATGTCTTCACACATTTTGTTAAAAAATCACTCCCTTTCAAGTGGGATCACATTTCTTTCTTATCCCATTAGTTACAGAAAATACTTGCAGGTAAGAATACAGAGACACTCACAAGCTGAACAGCTTTTACATCAAGTTCATCATGCTGTATTTCAAACGTTTTTATTCTTTTCTTACTGGATTGTCTTTTCTGTCTTGTCAATATTGATCGGTTCTGTGCTTCCTCTGAGACATCTGGTGCATTGCCTTCTTTTTGTGACTGATCCTCAGTTCCTGATGCCTGAAATGAAACATAGTATGATGATAAAAATTGTCTGCAGCCTTCCAGAAGGACCTTGACAAGGTACAGAGGAGGGCCCATGTGAACCTTACAAAGTTCAACAAGGCACCTGTGTTGAGGCAGTCCAACATGGATATAGGCTGAGCGATGAGTGGATTGAGGGCAGCCCTGCAAAGAAGGGCCTGAGGGAATTGGTGGATGAAAAATTGAATATGAGCCAGCGATGTGTGCTAGCAGCTCAGAAAGCAAATCACATCCTGGGCTGCATTAAAAGAAGCATATGAACATAAGAAGGACATGGACCTGCTCAAGCAGGTTCAGAGAAGGGCCATGAAAATGATCAGAGGGCTGGAGCACCTCCTCTGTGAAGACAGGCTGACAGAGTTGGGGTTGTTTGTTTAGCCCAGAGAAGAGAAAGTTCTTGGGAGACCTTACAGCAGACTTCCAATACTTGAAGGGAGCCTACAAGAAAGATGGGTAAGGACTACAGATCAGGGACCGTAGTGATAGGATGAAAGGTAACTGTTTTAAACTGAAAGAGGATAGATTTATATTAGATATTAAGAAGAAATTCTTTATTGTGAGGATGGTGAGACACTGGAACAGGTTGCCCAGTGAAGCTGTAGATGCCCCATCCCTGAAAGTGTTCAAGGCCAGGTTGGATGGGGCTTTGAGCAACTTGGTCTAGTGGAACTCCAATGGCAGAGGGGTTGGAACTAGAGGAACTTTATCCAACCCAACCTATTCTATGACTCTATGATTCTATAATATCCTGTTCTCAAATGATGATCAATTCTAAATAAAAACATCGACTCCTGTTAAATAAATGGGCATTTGGTAAAAGCTGAGGAATTTTACAAAGCCCAATCAAGTACTAAAGTTTCATTAAGTCCTCTCTATACTCAGAGAAAAACTTGACAATACTCTAACACTTATAAGGTGGGGGAGTGCACGGAATTTATAGCTACAAAGATTTTTTTCTTATTTTTTGTCACGTTAAACTGTTCTGAAAACATAAAGGAGAGTTAACTAAGTTAAGGGGAGAGACCCACAATAAAGCCTCTTTAAAAAGTAAAAATTATACAAAAAGGCCTTAAAGTAAAAGAGAATCAGAAAGTCAACAAGAAGGACTTTCAACATAAGGAGGGACCCATGAAGAATAGGAGTAAGACTTCCAGCTGCTTCAAAGTCAAGCCCTGAGAGAAACTGCTTGAGAAGTTCAGGAAACAGCTTTAGAGATAATAAAAATGTTCAAGATAGACCATGTCTGAATGACAAAACTCTAGAAGCCTGACTCACTAAGTTGCTGGTGTTCTGCAAAAGTACTCGCATAAAAGAGTTTGAGTTTTCACAATAAGAGTGGGAGACACTGGAGCAGGTGACTCGAGGAGAGTGTGCAATCTCCATGCTTGGAGGCATTCCAAACCCAAGAGGACACGGCCCTGAGCAACCTGCTCTGACCTCAGAGTCATTCATCATTCAGCAGGGGTTAGACTAGATGAGCCACTGCGGACCCCTCCAACCTGAGCTAGTTTATAATTGTGTTATTTGGAAAGGTAGTCTGAGAAGCCATCACCTCCAGAACTTAATTTTTTCCCCAATCTTAATTTTTATGTTCTCACATACTCTATTTTTAATGTTGTACTTTTAAAGAAACTTTTTGGTTAGAATTCCTGTAATTCACATCTTTGAAATAAACTTGATCATTTTACTTAATAAGAAGTTTTCTTTATAAGAAGTTTAGTAATCTTCAGGAAAGCTTTTTTCCCCACTAGCGTTTCTCTACTGAGGAAACACTGCAAAGCTGGAGGTACCTTTGGGAGCAATACAGTCCAGTATAGGTCAGTAGCACACAATATGATAAAAGCTATGGAAAAATTTTAGTGAAAAAGCTACCTGCATATTAACGAGCTTGTAGTAAATTCCATTCCGTTCTATTAATTCATTATGAGTCCCTTGCTCTGTGATGACACCATTTTCAATTGCTGCTATAAGATCCGCATTTCGAACCGTTGAGAAACGATGAGCAATAATAAGTGTAGTGCGTCCTTTCCTGACCTGGAAACAGCGTAATGATGGCTCCATGTTAGCGTTGTCAGGTACACATAATAACAGGTTAAGTGTCCAGTTTCCCTCAAAAAAAGACTGAATACCATTAAGCATGTCAGTGGCAATTCTATTTTAGAACATTTCACAAATATTAAAAATTAATCACTTAGCAATTTTAGTTGCTCTAAATTACTTGTTTGACTTAGCTGAAAGTGGCACTTAAAATCATACTTCTGTTATGGTTTTTTTCCATCTTCTTAATTACTCACAAATAAAAAAATAAATCCTAGAAGCAAGTAGTTTGACACAACAAAGATTTTTTGCAGGCGCATTGTGACAGTGTGCTCTGCGATAAATTGGTATTGATATCTAATGATGCAAAAAGTCAATCCAAGCTTCATAGAATTAAGTATATTTATATATGCAATACATATAGTACATACATATTATTTTATATTATTCAGTACATTTTGAACTGCTAGAATAGTGGCTTAATAAGTGTTTTACAATTAGGAAATAAAAGAGAAAACTGTAATGTGTAGCAAGGAAGAGAAAAATCAGGCAAGAGGAGGACAAATGAACGCTTGGCACATCACAGCTCGGCTTCATCTTGCTTAACATGAGCAAGTAGAGCTAGTCTAGTCTGAGCAAGTCTTTCTGGCATGCTCTGCCAGAAATGTCAACAGGGAAATTCATCTCACCATACAACATATTTTAAAGATAGGTGGGGGAGGTGAGAGGTTAAAAGTAACTTGTTTAAACTAGCTGTATAAGTTTGATATTGCAGCAGTTGTTGGGATCCCACCAAATATATCTCGATCAGCACTTCCCTGCCCCTCTGTCTCTGGGATTCACATTACAGGGCATGGGCTGGGAGGAAGATCCCTGTGTGTGCCAGCTAGCGTGGCTTCACAGCGTAGTGTGAATTATCAGGAATTAGGATTAGTGGACAAAAAGTCTAATCCCTGCTGAAATTAGTGTCAATTAGGTGTCCAAGTAGCTATTAGGGACTTAAATATCTTTGAGGAGGAAAATATAAATTCTGTTTTCTGAGTCTTCCAGACACAGCCCTGCACAGTGGGTGGAGCAAGGTACTTCGCCTGCGGCAGAACAGCATATGGTGTTTCTAAAGATATTGTCCATAGATAAACTGTGATCACTGCTGAAAATGTTTACGCAATGGTGTGAATTTGTGTTTGCCCAGAGCATAGATCCATAGTGACAGAGAGAAACAGAGGGAGGAAAAAAACCCCCAACAAGTATGATTGATCCAGCCGGAGGAATAGGTGGAACTATTTTGTAAACGGTTCATACAATTGCTTAGAGCAGACAAGAAATACAGGAATGGCTATTTTTTTCATTTGCATATGTGGTTTGTAAGTTATGTCTAGATGGCAGTTAACATGTAGCAGATGCTCTTGAAAACATCACTGAGTTGGATTTGAATTACTTTGCTGGGTGTTAATAAGAACATAGGCCACATGGATCTCCAAAACTGCTTGGGATTAGTTAACAATTGGCCCACCTTAGGCTATCCACTGCTCTGAAGGCTAAAGCTCGTTTGGGAAAGCCTGCTGGAGTTCAGTCCTACCCACAAGGACAGTAACTGAATTTCATGAGCAATTACATGAACACTTCACTGGGATCAGTACTGACCTTGTCCAGTGCTGCCTGCACAAC